ACGAGGTTAAACATTGTGTGAAAAAAACTGTGAGGAAAAAAAAACATCTATATATATGATTCTCTTCTGGGATCAGTTAGAAAACAAGCTGCAAGCGCGCCTTTGCAGTCCCCTCTCTTCCTCTCTAACACTATCACCCCCACCCCACCCCCACATGATCTGGTGAGCGGTGTTCACTCTGTTTACATTTTACAATCATAGAGACGGGTTTGGTGACGGCTATTAGGGGCAGATAATTTAGTTTGAAACGATTTTAAACTTAGAGGAGGTAACTAAGAGGAGGCTGCTTTCACATGGGGGGGTGGGGGTGGGGGGGTTAGTGTTTTTAAGCAAATATTTTCAATGGCAGCATTGGTACTGTCAAATTCACAAATTATAAATAACTGAAAAGTAGAAAAAAAAAAACAACTAAATAGCGGCGTATGATACGCAGCGGGTCGGTTCGTTTAATTTTATGTTTACAAGTATTAATATTTTTATTACATGAAGTTGAAGGACACATCATCAAGTTTGTTTACCTTTCACGCACAGGTTATGGTTGAGATCACATGTATCCCGACATTCCTTGCGTGTCACGTGAACAGCCAATCATTGTTGTGACTGCACTATTGCAGCTTCGGGTATCTTGTATGTAGGCCAAAATTTTTAAGCCAACTAACATAATGTTTATGGGGAGGTCCTCCATGAGACATTAATATTATTCATTTGGTTACTATGATTACAGAATCAACATAAGCCTACGAGATTTTTATACATTCAATTTTTTTTTCAAGGGAAATAATCAGTATAACTATTTAGAGTAAAAATAGATAACTTAAGGTTTATATATAAATTAATCATTATAAACAAAAAAGTGATTATTATTAATTACGAGCATGTTTTAATGTTTTAGAATTATTTAGAATATATTTAACTTATTAAAAAGTAAATGTTTTATAAATTATTAGAAGGATTAAATTCTTTTTAAAAGATATCCGTTTTTCAAAAACAATATTTTTTACTTTAAACGGAGATATTTGATATATATAGCACTCAATCGTTATTAAATTAGGGTAGTTTGAATTTGCAAAAAGCTTTTGAAAATCGAAAGTTAACTTTCATCTATCCTAAATAATCAAAGTTCAAAGACAGACCAGAGCACAATTGGCTTTGTGTTTCGCAAGAGAACATACATTTTTAAAAAAATAAATTTGTTATAAAATAATCCTAGACTTGGAAATAGCGATGCGATATCACAATGTGAGAAGAAAACACACCGACATACCTGCGGAACTACGGGTAAATGGCGAGAAATTTCTTGATTCATTGTTGTTTTATTAATATAATTATTTTTATTTCCTCGAGATGTGCGACAAGAAATGTTTTGGTCTAACTCTCTAAACAAGTCCATCTATAACGAGTGTTGTAGTTCTGTTGTTTTTTTTGTCTAGACTAGTAGGCATATGCCAAAGCAAGAACATTGCTATTTGATATTGTGTCGATGACGTCGCTTTTGTTTTCCCCCAAGCAATTGGAAACAGGTAGGCTATTTGGGGTCACAGTGCGTTAAAAAATAGACTAAAACATACGTCGTACAATTGTTGGTAACCCCATTCCTCCCTCGCCCCCCCCCCCCCCCACAACCAAGCAAAAGAAAAACGTATGCATACTACCAGTCGGATGGGGGTAAATTTGCGAGATACAAATATCATGTGACCAATACTTTTCGCATCTTTCTCGCATTTACGGCCTCGCAATTTCGAGTTTCGCATTTTACCACGACCCAGTTAACCACCCACAGCATTTAGATGTATATCTAGCATCGCTCTCACACTGCATTTACACTTGCGGCAAGTATACAATATAGGCCTACGTCTAGAAAAAAAGAATCATGAATACGTGTTCCATGGGAAAATGTTTTCAAATAAAGTGAACTTGTTGCGAGTTGTTTTTTTTTTTACATGTTGCAAGTGTAAACGCGATTTTATATTTTATACGTTGTTTCAACAAACTAATAACGCAAATATGTAGGAACATTCGCACAAGACAGTGCGATAACACGATCAGGTTTTTTCCCCCGACATTTTATCCAGGGGCGGCACTTCACACTTCAGGGGGGGGGGATGGGTATGTGATTACGTGTTTTCTGTACAAATAAAAAATCATATTTTTCTTTGATTTCGTCAACCCTCAACCCTACCACCCCCATTAAGTGATGATTGGGGGGGGGGGGGGACGACGACATTGTTAGCGTTTTGATGGTGAGTAGTGAACGCTGATCCTCTAGTTATGACTATGGACCTATCTGTCATTCAACTGTTTCTGTGTGTCTGACTCTTCTACTCCGCGAAATGAGTCAACATATTTACAATATTTATGATTACCTTAACATACGCTTTCATACCGCAGTAATTATATTTTACGAGCTTACCCGCGACGTAAGCATACGCCGCTATTTAGTTGTTTTAGTTTCTACTTTTCAGTTATTCATAATTTGTGAATTCGACACTAACCTCTCTTCCCCCCTCCCCCTCCCCAGTGAAAGCAGCCGTCTGTGTCGACAGTTTACAGACGACAATGAATAGATCAAGCAGAACTTCTTACCTCTCTTTAGTTTCAAATTGTTTAAATGCTAAATTATCTGCCCCTAAAAGGCGTCACATTGTAAACATTTGGGGTGAATCACAACTCACCAGACTGGTTGGGTGGGGGTGGTAGCAATATGCCTAGACAGCGGGGTAGGAACGGCTAAGCCCTTACGTGGTGGTGTCTCGTACGGTCTCCACGTAGAGAATTATATATATATATATATATATATATATATATATATATATATATATATATATATATATATATATATATATATATATATATATATATAAGATTATTTTTCCTTCTTTTAAACAAGTTAATAAAAAGTCTAGTGACAATTTAAGCGCAATTTCCTTAATTAACTTTTTGTGACCGAACGAAAGGATATTTTTGAAAACTTTCTTCGGCAATATTGTTCTAAATTATGGCAGGAATCGATTGGTAAATGTTTCAAGTCGCTAAGTGGTCTGGTTGCCGAGATATGGGCCAAAAACTGCATTTTTTAAAAAAAAATTTGAGATTTTTTGGCTTTTCCGGGAAATCCAGGAAGGAAACCCGGGATTTTTTTTGGCCCACAATCATCCTTGGAACTTGCTTAACTTTTTTGCTTTTGGAACTAGTCCTCGATATTGCTTCGTTGAGGAGGAGATACGACTTAAGGCTGCGGACATCCATCCATCCATCCATCCTTGACGAGTTAATAAACGCAATTCTCCAGAATGGAAATTGCGCTAAAAAGTATATAGCCCTCGCAACTGCAAAAGCACAATCACTTTCCAAGTCATCTTTCACATCTCTATAAATTTAGCATTTAATTCAGCTAGCAGTTGATTTAAAAATTTAAATAGAGTAACTAATAATTATAAAATAAAGTAAATATAAGGATTAAACATACAATCAGTAATAAATTTTAAAAAGTCATGTTTTAAAAAACAACAAAATAATCTGAATGTTTCTTGAATTTTTCTGTATTTTAATGACTTTTGGGAAAAAAGCTATGGGTTTTCCCCCTTGAAACTTTAAAATGAGTCGTTGGTTTACATGGAAATAACTTGTAGAAATTAATGAACAATTATATGTTTTATATGTTATATATATATATATATATATATATATATATATATATATATATATATATATATATATATATATAACTGAAATTTAATTTAGTATGATAATGTAATTCGCATCAACACTTACAGAATAAAGTGGATTTTAAGATAGAATATTAATCGTAGTGCTATATTAACAATGTATTTTTTAATAAATAGAAAGTTATTTATCTACATAGATCTAGATCTATCTGTAAACCTCTCCGCGCTTTCCTTAACACCGGTAGGCGCCTCTCAGTCTGAAAACCGCCGCCATCCAGTAAGATTTACATAACACACACTCCTCCGTCATCATTTTTTTCCGTTCGTGCCCAAGACACATGGGGCAGATGAAACAGAGTTCATCTGCTTCAGAGACCTCGGCATAGAAAGAGACAGTGTGGTCAGCACAATGCTCACCCGCCTCTGTTTCCATAACGTCAGAGCTAGGTGGACACAGGGACTTTCTAGTGACTTGAACCCGGATTCGAACTCGTGACTTTCGGGTTAATCTTTCTACCACTAGGATACGCCACAATAATAACCGATGTATCTTTTACTTCCTTAATTTTTCAGTTTCGAAATTCATTATTTAAATAATCTTTAGATCTCGATAGATCTAACCTCTTAACATTTTAGTGCTCATTCGGCATTGCCCTGATCCTATCTAGACGCAAAAGCTTAATGCTTATTTGCCAGAGTTTCTTCCAGGCATCTCTTCGAAAAACGACTACCACTCCCCTCCCCCCCTCCAACGAAATAGAATTAGTATAGAAAATATATACTTTTACCTGTGTGCACCCCCCCCCCCCCGGAGAAAAAAGTCTGAAAGAAACACTGTTATATACTGACCATATACTGATGATGTTCTCCCTTCATCCTTTATTAATGACCTTTATGAATGTAAACAGAAACATGACCCCATCTAGAATAAAGTCCTCTGTCTAAAGATATTAACTTAGAAAATAAATGAAAACAAAGACGCATTAGATGTCGCCGAGACCTACCTTCACGAAAAAGGTATCTAAATCTAGATCTAGGATCAAGCGTGTAATTGTTTTACTTGAATCACCTTGTCGCTGCTCTACAAAACTAGGCCACGCATTCAAGTAGATCTACATATCTACGGTAACCTGTTTCATATCGCACCAACACATATACTACACTACACATTATGTACTTACACGCTCTATACACGGCGAACTCGTTTTTTTTTTCTTCTTTGAAGCTCTCCTGAAGAAGGGGGGATAAAAATTTACGTCATGTCAACAAAGCGGCACATGACCGTCCGCTGTGCTAACAATAGACATTCGTGTGTATCACCGTAGTATCACGCAGTATCGCTGCTCCAGTCGGGAGGCCCAAACACCATCACAGGGGACCCAAACAACCTCACAGGGGGGCCCCAACCAGAGGCGTAGCGACCCTTCCCGGCGCCCGGGGACATACTTTCAATTTGGGAGCAAATTTTCGATTTGCACCCCCCCCCCCCTCGAACTTTTCATTTGCACCCCCCCCCTCATACTTTCGATTTGCACCCCCCCCTCAAACTTTCGATTTGCATCCCCCCCTCGAACTTTTCATTTGCACCCCCCCCCCTCAAACTTTCAATTTGGCGCCCCCCCTAAGGTCGGCGCCCGGGGACATATGTCCCCCCCCCCCCTCGCTACGCTACTGGCCCCAACAACATCACAGGGGGCCCCAACGTAAACTTGGTCGATTGTTGTTTCAATGCGTGGGACCGATCAACACTAGCTATTTTTTAAAAGGTGTATATGGGTCGCGATAAGCTATGAAAATATTTTCATTGAAAGGGATAACCACTTCTTATCTGTATTTTACTCTAGATCTAGTAGAGAATGCTTTGATATGATAATGCTGTTAAAAAGTCTTTAAATAGTAAATAACTAAATATGCAAGCGGGGTTATTTGCCTCGCTAATTATTTTTCATGCTGTATTTAATCAAGGAGATGATAATCTGGTTAATTTAGATGACCCGTTAAAATAGGTTTTCAGTGATAGAATCGTTGTGGTATTTTAAAAAAATCATTTAAAAAAAAAACAACTGACGGCAAGTGAAGTAGAGTTCAACTGTTAGGTACTCACCAGAGCTGGGTAAACTCAGGGCATAGCGCTGACCACACCATCTCTTAGCATGCCAAGGTCACAGAAACACATGAACTCTACTTCACTTGCCACATAGACAGTCATGTTTGGCAAGGGAACTTTACTTTTAAGTAGCTTCCAGAAGGTTATTCTCCAACCTATTTTCTAGACCGAATTCGCACCTGCAGTCCAATTAATGCAGACTAATGAGTTTGCTGACAGATAATTAAAAATGACATCATGCTTATTTTTGGTTAGCCACAAGACTTAATTGTTGATTGATTATTAAATCTACTTGTGTGGAAATAGTTAAGTGTCACAGCTCCTGTTAACTTTGGTTGACAACACTGATTGATTTAGAATGATTTACTCAACACTATCAGCTATCAATATTTTTCTATTGCAAGTATCTCTATAGTATAAACAACACTTAAAACGTGGGGTTAGAGCAAGGATCATGGCCTGAAAGGCTATTTTTGGCGAGGGCAAGCGTTGAGAAGTAAAAAATGTCCCTGACTTACGAGATTATCGATTTGAATAGGAAGGTGGCCTGATTTATGGCAATATAACTTTATAGTTATATATGTAAATATACATATATATATATATATATATATATATATATATATATATATATATATATATATATATATATATATATATATATATATATATATATATATATATATATATGTATGTATGTATGTATATATATATATATATATATATATATATATATATATATATATATATATATATATATATATATATATATATATATATATATGTATGTATGTATATATATATATATATATATATGTATATATATAGGAGTATATATATATATATATATATATATATATATATATATATATATATATATATATGTAACTAGGGTAGGCCTAGCTACTAGTTACAATCTGATGCAACTGATAACGAACGATAAGCCGCGACGCAGTATTACAGTCTGATGCAACTGATAGCAGGTGGCTTATTAAATCGGACTGATAACAATCTCAAAGCCAACGCGTGCTATTTTGGGAAACGGTACGAGGGGATTCAGACGGCCTGTCAACTTTGATTGATAGGATGCAGATGTTTCATTAATCGGACTGTACGTTAGAACTGCGCAACTAGTAGTCGGAGACATCGAGTACAAATATCGATTACGGAGGAATACAAGTACGAATACGAGTACGAATACAAGGGATAAATAGGAGGGGACGGCTGAACTCCCCCCTTTCCTTTTTCGATCGCTCGCTCTCTTCATCGCTCGCTTTAGATCAGTCAGTCTGTGTGACATATCAAGTTGGTTATATTGTGTTAAGAAGGACGATAGACATGTGGATTCAGTTATATGAAGCCTAGTGAGGACTGTTAGGGGTCAGTTGATTCAGACTATTATTGTGAAGCATTCCTGTTGATTCATTGTGTTATTTTGAAGCATTTCTTGATTCATGTAATAAAAGGATCAATAGCGAACCTGCATCTTCGAGTATTTCTACTGTAGTCGATGTTGTGTAGAATGAGTGGTTAAACTCGTTACATTTGGTACTACAGGCAAATAGTCTCGTAACATGTGGCGTTGCGAGCAGGGTAACTGTTCGCTCGTTACATATATATATATATATATATATTTATTTATACATGAAGGTCCAAGTGGTTGTAAGAGTTGACCTTGTCTAGTAAGTTATCAAACAAACATTATTGTAGATGTAGGTAACGTTTTCTGACCGTAGACTTATGTCATATTGGTGGGGGGTGGGGGTGCGGCGATCTGCACCGGATGACACCATTTAGGGGGGGGGGGTGATACCTAATCGTTAAAATCGTACAATTAAATTTACTTTAAAAAAATAAATTATCCAGTTAAAGTGGTAAGATAGTATGGGGAAGGGGTGACACCAAATTAAAAATGTTAATTTGTTTGGAGTGGGGGGTGACACCCTCTGTTTCCGCATCGGGCGACACCCGACCTAGTGACGCCACTGACCAGATCATTTAAATGTTTCCAGTTAACTACTCTTGCGAGAGTGCAGCCTCGCCTGTGGCTAATGAAACCACACAGTTCTTAAAAGTCTTAAACATTTTTTTCCTCACCAGTCTCTATAGTAGTTTCTGAACTCGATCAAAAAATGTGCATCAAACAAGATGCGGAGTTGACCTAGTAAGGATCCTACGGCAGTTGACTTAGGATGTTGACTTGGACTGACTGTTTACCTCGACAGAATGTTGACTTTTCAGAATGTTGACTTTTCAGAATGTTGACTTGACTGCGAAACACAGGACTTAGAACTGAGAGAACATGTTACAATTTTGCAACACGAGCAGTTTTTTCTGATTGCATCAGCTTCTGTCTGTGTGTAGACCACTTAAGCCTGTATTTACCACTCGCTGTGTATGATTTACTTCAGTGTGCTGTGTCCCACGTTAATCAACACGACGTGCCAGATGTTAACAATAAACAATAAACCGGGAGTGATCTCCCCTAAACTTTCTCGAATATTCTAATATAAAACTACAGGGATGGCAACTCAAGCCATAGACAATATTTGTAATCCATTTTTAATTACTTAAACTTTTTATAATAGAATAGAATCTGGTAAAAAAAAAGAATTGCACACCAAGTGAACGCCTAATAAAATTTGCATAATAGTGCGGGATATTATTAGTACTTTATAAATTTACGTGCGTTTTTTGAGAAATCGGAAATAGCGTAAATTAGTACTTCCGGTCAACGAAAATTACTCAAAATTTGAAAGAAGGTAGAGAATTAGATCATTTACTTACATGTGAAATTTCATTTATCTATCTGAAATAGTACTCAAGTTATAGGCTTTTTAAAAATTCAAAGTAGAAAAAGTACCACTTCCGGTTATCGGAAATCGCTCAAAAGTTGATCAGGATCTACGATTTTGATAAAATATTTATATATGAAATTTCATCAACCTAGCTGTAACGGTACTCAAGTTATCGTGTTTACACACAGACAGACAGACACACACACACAGACACACAGACATACGGACAAGATTGCAAAATTATGTTTTTCCGTATCAGTGAGGTGCAAAACGATTTTTTTTTTGCACGATTACAAGACTTTCTCTATACTTCGTATATACGAGAAAGTAAAAACACAGTCAATACTTCATACCTACAGTTTACAAGAGCTACTAAAACAAACGTAATTAAGTGAAGATCTATTAAAGGGATTATGGGATGGCGAGGTGGCTTGGTAGAGCGTACGAAATACTCGAGTTTGTATCCACGGTTCGAGTCCATAGCACGTCCTCGAGTCTTTGAAGGGTATTTGACTCATATTAGAGAAAGTAAAGGTGGCTGGACATAGTGCTGACCACGCTAGAGAAACTAAAGGTGGCTGGACATTGTGCTGGCCAGAGAAAGTAAAGGTGGCTGGACATAGTGCTGACCAGAGAAAGTAAAGGTGGCTGGACATAGTGCTGACCAGAGAAAGTAAAGGTGGCTGGACATAGTGCTGACCAGAGAAAGTAAAGGTGGCTGGACATTGTGCTGACCAGAGAAAGTAAAGGTGGCTGGACATAGTGCTGACCACGCTAGAGAAACTAAAGGTGGCTGGACATTGTGCTGACCAGAGAAAGTAAAGGTGGCTGGACATTGTGCTGACCACCTATCTTAGAGTGTGGAGAGTCCACCTAACGTATCTGAGAACTGTAGAGAATCCACCTAACTCCTCTATCTTAAAACTTTAGAGAAACCACCTACCATATCTTCCATACAATTTCAAGCACCGTTGATTATTGTGTGGCAGGTGATGGATGT